TGACAATCGTATGGTTTATTGCAGTGCTAATGACATTGAAGAAGAATAGAATCACATTCATTAAAAAAAAGAAAATTCAAAATCTGTCTTGAAGTAAAACACATTTGTGAGTGTGGTACTCTCAAATAAAGCACTGGACCACATGGTCGGTTTGAACCACAAGATCGACAGTTCTAACTTACCAGTCACTCTTTGGAAACACTATATAGCATTACTATGATTCAGAACAAACTTAATGGCACTTAACAACAACAACAAACAATACAAGTTAATTATTCAAAAAGACCATGATTATGCAAACCACTAAAACCATAATGATAAAATTGAAGAATTCTATGAACTTCAATCTGAAATTGATCAAATATAAAATCAAGATATATTGATGGGGGGGGGTAAGGCTTAATGGTGGATAGGGTAGAAGTACAGTGAGGATTTCTGTCAGCAATATTACAGAATACCAGATGAAGCAGGTTCAGGGGACAGTTCCAAAACTATGAATCACATATATAGGAATATTTTAAAAGTTTGAAGGTTTATAGCTAGTGGTAATTGTAGTGGAAGGAAGATAATCTCATGCTTTAGAACCTGCCAGGCTCAGCAGCCCAGAGTTGACATCTTGTGTGAGACCAAGTGGCTAGACCTAGTAGGGGAAGGATCAGAACTGCTTTGGAGTGATGCTTGTTGGAACCTCGAAGATTAAAGTGTGGATATTCCTTTTTTTTTGTATCTATTCACTGGCCTCTCACCGTCTGTGCACCTTCTTTCTGGTGACTAGAGGAAGGGGGGACTGAGTAAGTGGACACTCCTTGAGTGTTCTGCTATGCATTTACACAGTTCTTCTCAAATTGATATAGAGAGCTTCTACTTTAAAGCAAACAGCAGTGCAAAATGGCCACAGCCAGCCCTTAACTAATTATCATTTGGAGAAAGGCCAGAATGGGGGATATGGAATGGGAGAGACAAAATAGGATGAAAATTAAATCCTGAGTTACATCATAACAACCAACAGTGGCATCTTGAAATTTTTCAGGGATCCTTGAGACAAGAAGCTGAAAATGGATATTTAAGTCATACTCATATGAGGCTACAGATTCCCCACCCCCTTCATTCTTTTCTAGACTACAGCATCCAATCTGTTTGTTTGTTTGTTTGTTTTTGCTGTTGCTGTTTTGTGTTTCAGTTTCCTCTTTACCTTTAGGGGGCAATTTCTCTCACTACATTACACAAGAAAAGACAGCAATTGCTGTCATACAATCACACCTTATAAAAACCCACAATCCTGGGAAGAACCAATACCAACTGCCATAAACCAAGCAGACAGACAATACCTGTGACAGTTACTCTGAGTTGAGTAATAAAAAGAGTGAAAAGGGAAGTCCATCTCCTGAGAATATCTACCTGGAGGAAATTAGAAAGCATTATAAATACCAAAACACACACTGAATTAAGTATTAACGCCATAGCTAATTACTAAACATGGCCAAGAAACAAAAACAGATGACCATATCAGAACATGTCCAGACACAAGATTAAGTGACTGAGACAAATGACTAGAGCAGACCTACACACCATACTGGAAGGCGGGCAGGCCTTGGAAATGCCTGAGAAGAAATTCAGAAAAATGATTAAAAATGTATAAAAACATTTCACAAAGGAGTTGAGAAAAATAAGGAACAAGTCAGGAAACCAGTAGAGAAACATTCAAATAAGATCGATACGGCATTGGAAATAATTTCAAGTGTACAGAAAGAGGTCCAAATGATTATTAATAGACTATCAGAAATGAACAATACACTGAAAGGGCAAAGGAGTAGAATTGAAGAGATAGAAGCCAGCATTAATGAGCTGGAAGACAAATCTCTCAATATCACCAAGCTAGAAGATAAAATAGAAAAAATAGATTTAAAAAAAAAAAAATCTAAAGGTCTAAGATTCATGCTGGACAACACAAAGAGGAATGATTTAAGAATTATTGG